CAGGAGCAGGGCGACGGGTCCACAGCGGGCTGGAAAGAGGGCTCACATGGTCTCCCCCGCGAGCTTGCTTTCACACACACACTTTCTCCAGGGCAGGAGCCAGTCGCCTGCGCAGTGAGGGTCTCTCCCCAGTGCCCAGGCCAAGGGCTCCCCAAGTGCAGGGACCCCCTCACACACACCACACACCCCTCCCCAGCCTCTCCAGCCCCCTCCGCTGCCCCCAGTGCCCTGATCCGGCTGCCTGTTCCTCAGACCTTCCTGGCATGGGTATCCCGGACCTAGGCTCACCCTGCAGGGCCGTGAGCACCAGGGGGCAGACAGCTGTCTTATCGAGGCCTTTGCCCTTCTGCCCCCTCCACTGGCAAGGGGCGCCTGGGCCGGGCAGGGTGTGAAGGGCGGAGGGCACAGGAGGCCTCCACGCAGTGTGCGGGGTGGTCAGGCCACGGGCCAGGCGGCCTGCACCCACGCCCCCGCCCCTCAGCTTGGCCCAGCGGGTCCTCCGCCCAGAATAAAAAGCACCAAGCCATCAACTGTGACCAGCGGGGGCTGTAAAACCAGGCACCTTGCTTCTTGGCGAGTGAGCAGCTGCCTGGCTCCACTCAGTCCAGTGGGCAGCCAGGAAAAACTCAGCCAGAGGCCTGGGCACAGCCCTTCAGCCCCAAAGGAAGCTCCTGCACCCAGATTCCGTGCAGCCCCAAGGCGGCGACAGTCTGGAGACCCATCTGGGGAACCTGGGCCTCATGGGTCCCCCAGACACCATCCAGGTTCTCCCACCCCAGCGGTGGCCTCGACAAGCGTCTGCCCTGCCCTGGGGGGGTAGGGGCCCGAGGGGCTGCCTGCCAACACAGCTTACCACTGAGCCAGCAACTCAGGAGCTGTCGGAGATCAGTGTCCCCACATGTAAAATGGGACAAGCTCCCAGCTCACCCCAGGCCACACCCCAAAACTGCCCTTGGGGTCCAGGGAAGGGCCTTTCACATGAAGAGTCTGGGAGGGCTTCCTGGAGGAGGAAGGGTGTGCACAGTGTGGCCAAGGGGTGGAGGGTAGGGTCCTTTCACGAGACCACCCAGGAGGGTGGGGCAGGGCCTCCAGCAGGGGGCAGCCCGGGGGCCACGGAGGCCTTGTCCTCTGAACCCAAGCCTCAGTCTTGCCTGGACAGCAGGCCCAAGTGGACAGGGGGCACTTGAGATGCCCACTCACCAAACACCCAGCCGGGTGGCATGGGGGCAGGTGAGGTGAGCTCACAGATCCCCATGTACAGGAGGGCCTGCCCCCGGGTGTCTCCTGCTGTAATTATGTCATTAAAAGACCACCATCTCTGAAGCCAGTCCTGGGAGATGCCCGAGGCCCCATTGTGTGCAGAGCAGGCCTGCAGCTCAGTCATCCCAGAAGACAGAGGCGCCTTTGTGGGTGGTGGGGGGACAACCTGGTAATTAAACGATTCCCTGAGCTCATGAGAACATGAATACCCCAGAGCCAGGCGCTCTGACAGACCCGCTGCGAGTCTGTGCGCTGTGGTCCTGGGCGGTCCTGGGGCAGACTGTATGCAGACACCCCCACTATCTGCAGACACCCCCACCACCCTGCAGGGACGTGGCCCGGTCCCAGTGCAGGACGTTCTTGGAGCAGCCACACCTGTCCCAGCCACCGGTCACAGCAAGCGGGGCGCAAGGCCAGAGGTCCGGAGTCAGAGCCGCCCAGCCCTCCATTCAACCCACCAGTCCCTGCCCACCCTGGCACTGACTCCTGCAGGGCATGGGGCTCTCTGGAGATTTGGGGAACTGCCCTCAAAGGAGGGGCTTGATGCAGCTGAAGCGGCTTGTGTGGAGGAGCCCACGGCCACTCTGCCCACACAGGCGGGGAGCAGAGCAGAGGAGCGAGGGGCCACCCCACAGGGAGAGGACAGCGGGGTCCCAGGCTGGTCACGCCAAGGGCAAGTCTCCCAGAGCAGCAGGCTGGTCAGGCGGGTGGCCAAAAGCAGCCCTCCTGCGGCCAGGGGTCAGGCTCCCACCCTCAGACACGCGGGCAGCACTGAGGGTGCGGAGAGGGCCTGCTTCCTCTCCATTAATCAATTACTCCAGTTTAGAAACAGACTCCCCTTGAGTCGAGGCCAAGGGCTCAGGCCAGGCGGGGCCACCTCCTGGCCCCATGCCCTCAGGGGAAGCCATCTGCTCTGCTTCTGGATATAGCTGCGGGGCCCCCACTGCACCCACAGTCCCCCTAGTCCTCTCCCAGGGCCCCCCACCCACAGGCTTCCTGCTCAGGTGGGGGAACCGAGGCTCCTCCATGGTCAGGTCCACCTAGGTGCAAGTGGGCCTGGGTGTGCAGGCTCCAGGTGGGACTGCTCATGTCTCTCCCTGCTTGGGTGGGGTGCGGTGGAGGGGCAGGCCACACCGGGTCCCCAGGGGCACCTGCCAGGCCAGCCCCAGGGCAGCCCCCTGATTCCAGGTCTTTCCAGGGGTTCAGAGAGGAAGGATAAGGGTCCTGGGGGCTCCAGCTGAAACTTCTGTGGTTCCCGCCCGGGCCTGGGGCCAAACTGGCTTCCTCCCTCCTCTCTGCCCCTCGGTCTCCCATCTGGAAAGCCCATCTCCCCACACATGCCCCAGCTCACAGGCACGCCTCCTCCAGGAAGCCCTCCGGACCTCCAGCCTTCTGCTGGGCACCAGCACTGAGCCCTGATCGCTCACTGGACCTGAAAACGCGAGTCCCAGAACTGCCTCAGAGACCCGCCCCACCTGCCCACTTCACAGGTGAGGAAACTGAGGCCCAGGGGGCAGCCAGGCCTCGGTTCTCAGTCTGCCCTTATACCACAAGGTCAGGCGAGACCAAGTCACAGAAGCGACTAGTGGTCATTGTGTCCCAATGTATAGTGCAAAAGAAAGTTTTGTGAGGAGGTGTATGCTCTTAACTATAAGCTTTCCTTGCCTGTTTTTTCCTTATAGACCCAACGCCAGCTGGCCATGAAGAGCTCACGTGCCTGCAGCTCACCTGGACACACACACAGGGGTGATCTGCTGCAGAGGTAGGGTGAAACCCTATTTTGGGCTGGTGAAAACGTTTCTTGGCTGGTCTAATGGAAATGATGCTCTGACAGGCCCCCCACGGCCCCCCAAGGACAGGGTGTGTATGGGGTATACCTCCCTCCTCTGCTGACCGATACTGCTGACCTGCAGGGCAGAGAGGCTGGAAGTCCTGGGGTGGTCCGGACCCCAGGCCATCCTGAGGGAGAGGCTGCATGGCAGCCACATCCCAGGGAAGCTCAGGCATATTGCGTGTGCAGTTACCCCAAGAATGAGGGACGATGCCCAGCCACCCTCAGTCCTTACGTCCTCACGCCCAGAGCACCAGGCCTTTGGGGAGAGCATGTCCCCACCCCCCTGCCATGGCTCTTAACCAGGTGCTCTGTGCCTCACCTGCATGGATGCCTGTGACCTGCACAAAACCACTATTTCATCCCCACCCCCAAGAGATGGGCAACTGGGGTCCAGGGGGTTACCCTGGGTCCCACAGGCACATACGGGGGACCTGGAAGCTCACCTTGGACCACAGCTGCCCTGGGCCTGACTGCACTGAGGGCCTGGGCTGGGTGGGCGGGCTCTGCTGTGGACTCCCCAGCCCGCCCCTCAGCTGCCAGCACAGGCCCCCTTTGTGTTCCCGCCACTTCTGCAGGAAGCCTTCTGCTGGGAGACGGAACAAAGCCACTCAGCCCCCTGGCAAGCCCTGGAGGGAGGGCAGCCTGCGGGGGGGGGGGGGCTCTTCCCAGGGGCTCCCCTCCAGCTCTGCTCGCCACCAGCAACCCAGCAGTCCCTGTCTCCCTCCCCCACTCTTTTGTTCAAATGAAAGAATTTGGGGGAACCAAAAAAATATGTCTTTTATTTTCAAAACTGGAATCAATTATAATTGGGAGTTAGTTAAACAGTCTCAACTGTGCTGGAGCCCAGGTCTGGGGTCCAAACCCAGCATGGAGGGATGGGAAGGTGCTGGCGGAGGTCTGAGCGGGGCTGCCCTGCACACGGCTCGACCCTCACACCCGGCCCTGCACACCAGCCTTCACACCCACCCCTCACACCTCACAGCCAACTTGCACAGCCAGCTCTGCACCCCCAGCCCTGCACACTTAGGCCTGCACACTCTCCCTGCATAACCGGCCCAGCACACCACCCCTCACTCTCAACTTGCAGGGCCAGCTCTGCACACTCAGCTCTGCACACTCGGCATTACTTCCAGGAGACAGTGCCCAGGAGACAGTGCCCAGGAGACAGTGCCCCAGGCGGGGGCCCTTTGGCCACCTTCCAGCTTTATCTACTGCTCCCTGATGGCCATATCTGCCCCCCCACCACTGGCCTCTCTCCCAGGAAGCCCACAACCCCGAGGGCCAAGGGTTGGTCACAGGTACGATGCTACTGCCCACCCTGCCTGGCAGCTGGGACAGGGTGGGGACATGGGGGTCTGCCCGCCCTCCTCCAAAGCAAATCTCACAGGGCTCCACCCTGACCAGGTCCTGGCACCACCCTGGGAGGCAGCGTGGCCAGAAGGCTCCAAGTGCTCCCTGGGACACACTGCGACTCCAGCCCCAGCTCCGCTGCGTGGCCAACAGCTGCTGGCCATAATGACAGACCCTGAGAAGCGAGGCGTGGCAGTTGGGCCCTCCATCCCGCCTGAACCCCAGCCTGCGTGGGGGTGGGGTCGCCTCTGGCCAGCCCACAGAGGGGCCCGGGGTCTAAACCTCAAGGAGGCCTGGCTGAGGCTTGGAGCCTGGATGGTGCAGGCACGGGAACCACCCCAGCGCCTGGGGGTCCTCGCTCCGTGGCTGGGGCCACGTGCCTCCCAGCCGAGCAGAGCCCAGGCCAACGGCAGGCTCAGCACAGAACCTTCTGGCTAACAGACGGCACTCGGGCACTCGACAAGCGGTCACAGGCACTCAAGCCTGGCGGGGCTGCACTCACCATACTGACAGCGGGGACCCTGGAAGCCTTGAGGACAGTGGCACAGCTGGGCGGAGCCGGGCACGCAGTTGCCACCATTGAAACAGAGACCAGCGCTGCATTCAGCTGTGGAGAGAGAAGGGGGGGCATGTGAGCAGGAGTGGGAGCCTGGGGGTAGTCCCCAGCCCACCCGCCGGGACGCGAAGTCCCTGGGGACCCACCCCCCTGAAGTCTGCTCATAAGGAGAGGCCTCAGGCCTGGACAGAACCCCGACCCTCCTCCCAGGAAGGAAACCCCCTCCCCCAACTGCAGCCTGGACCACACCTGAGGGCTGAGCCCTGAACCTGGTTGGGGAGGGTCTCACAGGCAGGCAGCCCAGCCCTGCTGTCAGGTCACTGGTCCCAACTTTGCTCTGTCCTGGGTCACACACTGTCCCCTCCCCCCGCCCCCCCAGAGCCTGAAGTGCCTCCCACACACACAGCCACAGCTGGTCCAGGTTCAGTGGAACCTCTCTGAATGGAGCAAAGTACCAACTCACAGTGCCCTGTGTGTTCCCACCACCGTGCCCCTCGACCGCACCTAAGCGTATGGGGGGACAGCTCATCCCCAGCCCAGCCGTGGGCTCCCCGAGAGCAGCCACCGACTCGGTCATCAGCATCGCGTTCCTCGGTGCCACTGACACTTAGAAGGTGCTGCATAAACTTTGTTGAATGAATGAATGAGTGAATGAATGAATGAAAAAACAATAAAACAGGCAAAGCTGGAGGTGACAGTTATTTGTCCAGAGGCCTTGGGGGAAGGGCAGGAGCTCGGGATTTTAGGTGGACGAGGAACATGGCAGCACATACGCAGAGATGGGGAAAAAAGAAAAACAAAGATGCACAAAAATGCACCAAACTATGTCCCTAACCACGAAGGGGTGCTCCTGGTGGCCCCGGGGCTGGTGGCATGCTGGGAAGACGAGGATCCCACAGAGGGGAGCCTGGGACAGAGGGACGCTTGGCTGGCATGGAGCGGGGCTGGGTCGGCTCACGCAGGGCAGGACGGGCACCCAGTGCAGGCAGAGGCGCCACCGCAGACACCCAGCAGGGTCCACCCGGTGGGCCAGGCAGCATGGTGGGGTCCTGCACCCCTCCTGTCAGGACATGGCAGTGGTCAGGGACACCCCCAGCAGCAGAGCCTGCCCCTTCCTACTGTCACCAAAGCCCGCAAACCCGCCCACAAGTGGACAGGACAGACAGTCTTACCACAAGGACAAACACCCCCAAAGAGCCACCCAACAGTGGAGGAAAACGACACACAGCCAAAGACAGGGAGAAGTCAGCCTGAGGAAAGGGGTCTCAGGAGCCTCAGAGCAGTGCTTTAGAACCCGGAGTTTTCGATCCCCGACGCCCCGTGAGAGAAAGGGAGGGCATGGTGTGTGGGAGAGAAGACGCGAGGGGCACAGGAGCACAGGGCAAACGCGGAAATGCGGGATGTAAAAACTCAACGCATCGGTGTTACGTGAAGGACGGATGGGGGCTTTGCAAAACAGTTTAGAGATTTCTAAGTAACAAATTGGTGTTATAGTTAACATTAGCTAATTTTTAAATGAATTGTATGAGCACCGTGTGCCAGGGAGGCCTCCTTGGGGACCCTCCCCTGTGGCTGTCAGCTTGGCCAGGACAGCACCCTCAGACCCTCAGGGGCCCTGGAAGGAACTGCCTGAACCCACAAGTGTGAGAAATGCAAGAATAGGTGCAGCTGACCCAGGGCCCACAGGGCCTGCTGCGGCCTGGCAGCCGTGTCCTCCGGAGGCTGAGCAGCGGGTGGGAAGGTCTGAGCCGGGGCGAGTCACGCATGGCTGGAGAAGGCCCCAGGAACTACGGCCCAAGCCCCGACTGCCCCCACTGGCCCCGATGCTCTAGCAGGGCAAGGCGGCTTGGGTGTCGTAGACATGTGTTCAAGTTCCTGTCCCGGCATCTACCACTGGGCTAGAAATTTGGGCTCAGCTCCATTGCAGGCCATTTGCATGTATCAAATGCAATCTTCTCAATGACACTTCACACTGTTGGTGTTACCTCCACACTATCTATCACCTGAATCTGAAGACACACAGCCCCCCACCTCACCCCCGCAGTAGCCCAGTTCCAGGGCCCACCAGGCCTCCTCAGCCTCCAGCTGAACGGAAGACAAGGAATGTCCCCCTCCTGAGTCTAGACTGGGAGCCACAGGCGTCGGGACGCTGACCGTTAGCCAATCGTCCCGGCTTCCCTGGACCAGGCCTTCGCTTTGGAGTGAAGTTGGGTGGGTCTGTCGTACTCCTAAAACCAAAGTCTGGTAGGGTCCTGAGGGGCATGCAGCCCTGAGGGTGCTCCTAGCTGAGCCTGGGTGCAGGACAGCAGGTTTGGGGAGCACAGTTCTAGGGTACATCGAGGGAACTTCTGTGGCATCATAACACCAGCCACATTCTCAGGCGTGAAAAGCAAGGAGCATCGCACTTGGGGGGACCTCCGGCGAACCTGCTGGGAGTGGCTGGGGCAGCCTGTTCCAGGCCGGGCAGCTGCGGAAACGGGACCTCTGCTCTCCAAGAGCTCGGTTCCTGCAAGAGTGGACCGCCATGTCCCTGGAGGTGTCCTGAAGCCAAGCCCAGCCTCCTCCCCTCCCCTCCCCCTCGCGGCCACCTGGTGGATAGATAGTTGGAGCGGCTCAGGGTGGGACAGGTGTGATCCACGCTGATGAGTTCCCGAGCCAGACACCCACCCTCAGGCTGTGAACACAGGGCCGGGTCACCAAGCATGCTCAGGGAAGAAACGCCGGGCCTTCTCGAAGCCAGACCCGCGAGTGAGCGCTGGTCTGCGTCCTGCACTTCCTCCCAGTGGCCCAGACACCCGAGTCCAGTCCATTCTGCAGCTCACGGAGCCTCTGGTTTCCTGACTCCCCTTCTCCATCCACATCCCTCCTAGGGGGCCAGTGAGGGGGCTCCCCAATGTGGGGCGGGCCCAGGTACAGCCCCCAGAGGAGGGACATGCCTCTCTGCACCGGCTGGGGCTGAGTTTATGTGCTCATCAGGCCTACAGGTGACTCAGAGCCCTTTCCTGAGAACTTTGAATCCTCAGAGTTTTCTGGATGCAGCCTGGGCTCAGCTCAGCACCGACAAGCAGTGGCTGCAAGGACTGTATACCATCGTCCACGGGAGCTCCCAGCGTGGGCTTGGCTCAGGGGCCTCTCATGGGACAACCACCAGGGCCACCTCAGGCGGGCCCTGCTGCTGCCCAGACACTCAAGGCACTTCTGCTGAACACCAGTCACAGCGGCCTGATTGGCGACGCTGCGTTATTTTCCTCGTCACCCAGGCTAATGCCGAGACTCAGGGCGACCGGGTGGGGGTGATTTACGGATGTCGCCAGAGGACAGTGGGGACCAGCTTCTCTGCAAATCCTGAGTCGGATGTCGGCTCCAATGCTCAGGACTCACAACCAAGTGTCCACACAGATGGGTGACCATCATGTAATGGGATGGGGTCCATTTCACAAGGCAGCCGGGAGAAGGACCTGGAGGGAGTGGGGACCCAGGGGTGCCGCTGCCCGGCTCCAGGCAGCCACACCTTGCGTCCCGCAGAAACGCCACATCGGATCTCACGCCAGAAGAAAACCCATCGTTATGGCAACAGCTGGCCCCCAGCTCCCAGATGTGGTGAGGCTGGCACCTGGCAGACTCCTGGGCAAGGCCGGGCCACTGGGCCAGCCAGACGGGCTCAGGCGGCTCTCATGCTGCACAGCCCGGCATTCAGGAAACTGCCAGAGCCTGCAGGGCACGTCGCGGGCTCACACATCAGACGGAACCCCAAGAGGACACATCTGCCCCGGGCGGGTGTTTCTCCAGCAACCGGCCCCCAGAGGCCGGCACCAGGAAGTCAGGGCCGCGACCGGTGAAGGGCACCTGTGTCCACCACTGTTGGAGGCTTTTAGGGGTTCGAACGATGCTGGGCATGTGAAAGTGCAGACAAAGCGGGTGACGGGGAGGACAACACTGCACCTGGGTCCCCGCTGGCCAGGCTGGCTCAGCGTGTTGTCACAGAGTCGTTGGCTCAGGGGTGGTTCTCATCTTACTGTCGAGCTGTGGGGTACATGCCCCTCCCCGTGCCCAAGCCACTGATGGGGCTGCCTGTGTGTGAGTGGGTGTGGGAACCACGTTGCCCACCTCCCAGCTGGGGCCGGTAGCTAAGGAAGGGGGGCCACTTCCCAGGGAGCCCAGGGGCAGAGCAGGCCCTGAGCCCCTCCTGCCTTGTCCTCTGTCCCTGTTCCTGCCACCCAAACCCGGCCTCCCACCCAGCGCAGACTGGGGGCTGGGGGCCTGGATGTGTCCCTGCTGAGAGACGTCAGTCCAGCCGCTCCAAGCTGGGCATTGAGGTTCCCAGCTCCCAAGTCAGCACTGAACTCTCCAGGCCAGCTGCTGCCCACACCTAGACCGGCACCCACCACATAGTGGGTCCCCAGAGACAGGCGGGCGGACAGACTCCCTTTGCCCAGAGTCTGGCCCAGCTCCCAAAGCCCCGGCATGGTGGCGAGTCAGGAACACAAGCTGGCCACACCGAGCTTGCGAGACCGTGTCCGTGGAAGAGGTGGGGGTGCCGACAGGCCACGGACCCTGACGCAAAGCCCACTGTCCCCTCCAGGCTCCAGCATCGGCCTCTACTGAACCCCGGAGAGCAGGTCTGAGCAGGCAGCGTGGCCCTGCCGGCTCCACCTCCTTCCCCACCCCCGGCACACCCCTCCCAAAGGTCATCTGCAGGGCAGAGAACATGCACCCGGAACCTTCCAGAGGGCTGGTCCTGGACTGAGCTCTGCCCGGCGCCTGGATTGCTCTGGGCTGCAGCTGATGGTGGCATCTCTGTGTCACTGCACTGTAACCCCGGGGGAGGACGGGATCCTGTCACTGAAAACAGGCAGAGTTCGCACAGGGATCCGAAGCCAACGGACCATCAGTAACTCCTGGTGGAATCAATGAATGAGCCTCTCCCGCCCTCTGCTGAGGTCTGGAGTCGGTCCGGCACTGTATCTGAGACATAAAGACACAGGCCCTGTGCAGGTCTCAACCCCCCAACCCCGCATCCGGGGACCAGGCTCCATGTGCCCGAGGGGCAG